CCCCCGTGCAGCCAACTCTTTCCTTGCTAATCCGGAGCGTTTTGGTGGCGTTTTTGTGCTGCAAGTGCCCTCAAGGCCAGACCGTGGGACTTGGTGACGCGGAGCTTTTGCGAGGTGTCTCCAATCCCTGCGGCAGCTGCCCTTGAGGCCGCACTGCAGGACTTGTGTTTCGTAGGATTTTCTGTCTTTCAGGTGTCCTCGAGGCCAGACCACAGGACTTGGTGACCCGGAGCTTCTGCGAGGAGTCTCCAGGCCCTGCGGCAGGTGCCCTCGAGGCCATTCTCTGGGGCTTGGTGCCCCAGAGCTTTTCCCTGGCGTCTCCAATCCCTGCAGCAGGTGCCCTCGAGGCCCGACTGTAGGATGGCAGAGAGACGCTTCAGCCTGTGCAGGTTTCTCGGGAGGAAGAAGAAGCAGGAAGGCCCTGGGACTGCCCCTGCACAGCAGTCGGAGGAGGAGGTGGAGCAGCCCCAACCCCTGCAGGAGGGTGAGTGGCAGAGCTGGGCCCCAGGGCTGCTGGCTGCAGCCAGATGGGCCTCTTCCCATCCCATCCCATCCCATCCCATCCCATGCCATCCCATCCCATCCCATGCCATGCCCTGTGGATGTGGCCAGGAAAAGGGAGGGGAGAGGAGGGCCCGGGACTGATCCCCGGCAGCTCCATGCACTGGGCATCACGGGGCTGGGCCCGCCTGTGGAGCGCGGGGCTGGGCCGTGTTCTCCGGCCTGTCCCGCAGCCCCTCAGCTCTGACCGCGCTCGCTCTTTGCCAGATCCGGGCCAGGACCAGACACAAGAGCAGGACCGCGCCCGTGGCCGCTTCCGCCGGGCAGCACAGGTACCTGCAGCCGTCGCCTCCTGGGTTGGGCCTGCTGTCGGGCCTGCTCAGCCCGGCACCGCTGTGCGAGCTCTCCAGGGCACATCCCTCTCTTCCCTGCCCTTGGTTTTCCTGTAGGCCTTTCTGAAATTTGTGGGCATTCGGCGTCGAAAGACCAGGATCACACCAACCGAGGTCATGGCGCAGCCTGACCCCACGCCGACTGAGCTCACGGCCGAGGCTGATGGCGCAGCGACCCAGGGCATGGCAGGCACTGACATCCCAGCCGCTCAGCGCCTGCCCACTGCTCCTAGTCTGGACATTCCCGGGGAGAGAGTTGTCTCTGTGGAAGTAAGCAGCCTGTGGGTAGGGAGGGATTGTGTGGGCCCTCAAGCCAGGTCTGCTGGGCCCCCTCAGCCTTTGAGGCCAGCACAGTAGGGTGGGAAGGGAAGCCCTTCTCGGGGGAGAGTGGGAAAATTGCTCCCTCTGGCAGCTCTCCAACTCCCCCATGGCCCCTCCAGGCCGACCTGTGGGACTTGATGAGCCGGAGCGTTCCCAAACCCGCTGTGTTGCAGGTGCCTTCAAGGCACTTGTGCAGGACCTGGTGAGCCAGAGCTTTTGCGTGCCATCTCTCCTGCAGGAAGCCGTGAAGCCAGACAGAGACATGGAGCAGAGCCCCCCCAGGGTGCCCAAGCTGGCCTGGCTGAAGGAGGGGGAGGAGGAAGGCCCTGGAGCTGCCCCATCCCAGCAGCCTGAGGAGGCAGAGCAGTGCCAGCCCCTGCAGGAGGGTGAGTGGCAGAGCTGGGCCCCAGGGCTGCTGGCCGCAGCCAGATGGGCCTCTTCCCATCCCGTCCCCTGTGGACGTGGCCAAGGAAAAGGGAGGGGGAAGGAGGGTCCGGGACTGATCCCCCGGCAGCTCCACGCACTGGGCATCCCGGGGCTGGGCCCGCCTGTGGAGCGCGGGGCTGGGCCGTGTTCTCCGGCCTGTCCCGCAGCCCCTCAGCTCTGACCGCGCTCGCTCTTTGCCAGATCCAGGTCGGGCCCGGACACAAGAGCAGGACCGCGCCCGTGGCCGCTTCCGCAGGACAGCACAGGTACCTGCAGCCGTCGCCTCCTGGGCTGGGCCTGCTGTCGGGCCTGCTCAGCCCGGCACCGCTGTGCGAGCTCTCCAGGGCACATCCCTCTCTTCCTGCCTTTCTCCTGCAGATGGTTTGCCAATTCACCCGCTGCATTTGGAGGGAAGAGACCACTGCCATGGGCGCTGGGGGCATGGCAAACTCTGACCTCTGCAATGCCCACACCAGTGCTGCCCTGCTGGATTTGCTTGTGGAGAACGGTGTCTCCAATGCCAAGAAAGTAAGCAGCCTGTGGCCAGGGCTCCAGCCCTGCAGGGATTGGGTGGCCCCTCCCGCCGGCTCCGCTGGGCCCCTTTGAGGCCGGCGGAGAGTGCTGGGAAGGGAAGCGCTTGTCGGGGGAAGCCGGGCAAGTTGCTGGCTCTGGCAGCTCTCCAACTCTCCCCCGTGCCCCCTGCAGGTGCCGGCCTTGGTCAGGTACATCCACGGGTGGCTGACGGCCAATGCGTCTGCGGAGCGCAGACTAGACAAGACTGTGCTGGCTCTGGTCGAGGCACACCCCGTGGATGTGGTGGTGACTCTGCTGCGCTCTGCCCCATCCTGTGACAGGTACGGGGCCTCCCTGCCTCCAGGGCTCACCAGCCCATCAGCCTGTAGAGCCCGTCCCAGGTGTCTGTCAGGCCCAGAGTTCCCGGAGCCTCTGGCTCTTCTGGTTCCCAGCCCTGGCATGCCAGCCGCGCATCCCGCTCCCACGTGCCCTCCTTGCTCCTCGCGGTGCTGTGGCTCTGTCACCTGGGAGCGGGAAGTGCCCAGGCCGTGGCACTGTGGCTGAGAGCCCACTGACACAGAGCTTTGACCCCGCAGAGCTGCTGTGACCATGTGGAGGACAATCATCTCCTCAAGAAGTACTGCAGAGTCGGTGCTGCAGATCCTTGCCCTTGTCCTGGGAAGCTGGCCAGCCTGCAGCATGTGCACCTCGGATGGGGATGAAACGGAAGTCTTTGCCCTGGCTGTGAGTTTCTGGAACCGGCCTTTGCTCCCCCTCACGGCTCCTCCCCGGCGGCTCTTCCTCCTCCCCCAGCACTGCATCTCCCTGCCTTAGGCACTGGGCTGGAGAGCTGGCTCAGGGGCAGGTTCAGGGGCACCAGGCCGGGTGCTCCTCCTGTGTCTCCCCTGGCCTCTCCCTGCCGCGCTCAGGCCCTGCCACATGGATGTCTGGGCACTGAGCCCTGTCTCCGCTGGTTTCCTTTTCGCAGGCAACCTTGGCACTCTGGAAGATCCTCCATCTGCTCTGCTGCACGCGTGCAGTGAGGGGGTGTTTCCCCAACCTCTTTGTGCATCTGCTCTTCCAAGTGTTCCTCAGCACAGTGCAGATGCCGGAGGAGGTTGACACCTTCTGGAGGGAGTGCCGGAAGCAACGCAGCCTTCCCACCCAGCCCAACAGGTGCTCCGTCCCAGTCCTCCTGTCCCTCCCACGCCTTTGGGGCTGGCCAGGGCTCCCAGCATGACCTGGCCTTTGCTCTGCATGCAGGTTTGCAGCGCTGACCCTCAAAGCCCTGCTGCGCCGTCTGCGCTGCGAGAGCGTGTTGGTGGCCATGGAACGCAAGTGTGGCTGGGACACGCTGCTCAACGCTGACACCCACCACTACGCGGTGGGTCTGCTGGCCAGGTGAGAGCCCCTTGTCCCCGCTGCCCCTGTCATTTCTGCCCTCTGCACGGGGCACCCCACGCAGTGCCCGTGGTGGTGGGCCAGAGGGCCTTGTCACCCAGGGATGGCTGAGCGGAGCGGCAAAGGCTGGGAGAGGCGGGTGCACAGGAGGAGCCGCCTGCCAGAGTGCCCTCGTCCCCTGCCGGGGTGCTGGGGAACGACCAGGCCTCTGGGAGGGAGTGGCGGGAGAGGTTTGCCCAGCCAGCTCGGGCATGACAGTGCCTTTTTCCCCCTGCCAGGGAGATGGGTTCTGCCTGCACACCCTGGTGTTGCAGCATCGTATGCTGCCTCCTGGAGCTGCTCAGCGAAGAGATGTGTCCCTGGGAGCTCCCTGCCATGGCGTTCCTTGTGGAGGTGAGCCTGATGGCGAGCGCTGCCTGGCTGAGCCGCCTGCACCTCTCTGGCCTTGTCGGCCGCGTGTGCGGGGGGAGCCCAGTGAAGGGAGCTGGGGCAGAGGGGGGGGCTCCACTGTGCGCCCTTGGCCCCTTGCTGCTGGGGTGCCACTTGTCCCCAGCTGTGTTTTGGGTCCCTCTGCTGCCAGCACTCGCACTTCCCTCATGGCTCCTCAAGGCCAAGGAGTCCCAGGGTTGGGTGGCACAGAGGAGTGGGCGAGTGGCCTGCGCAGGGCAGGGAGCCCAGGGGCTCTGCAGAGCCACTGCTGCTTTTGGGCAGGGCTGCCCAGGACGGTGCCGCACCCTGTGCTGCTGCCTGGGCCCAGCCCTGTGCGGGTGTGGGCTGCTGCCGGCCGGGCAGCCCGTCACTGCTCCCTGCCTTTCAGGCCCTGGCCTACCTGGAGGTGACCGACTGCGGCGAAAGCATCCTGCCCATCCTTTCAAGGCACCTGTGGAGCGAGTGCCCAGAGATGCGTCGCCAAGTGCTGAGAGGCCTGGTGGTGCTCAGCCAGGATGCCGTGACGGTGAGGAAGGGGCAGTTGGCTGAAGCCCGTGCTGCAATGCTGGGGCTGGGGAGCACAGCTGCTGCCAGCTCTGCTGCCTCCCCGCTCAGCTGCCCGAGTCCCTGGGGACAGGCCTTTGGCCTCTGGGCCCCGCGGCAGCAGGTGGGGCTGCCCCGCCGGAGCGGGGTTGGCGTCACAGCCGTTGGCGGCTTCACAGCACAGCCTTGTGTTCCTCACAGGCCAAAAGAATGCGCAGCCTGACCCAAAGCCTCGTGCAGCTCCTGTGGGATGCAGATGGAGAGCTGGTCAGGATGAGTGTCACTGTACTCGGCTTTCTGCTCTCGGACAAAGACATCCGACTCTCCAGCCCCACCGCCCTGCAGTTGGCTGAGGCGCTGCAGCCGCTCTTCGACGACGTAAGGCTCTGTGCCCCGCAGCCACAGGCAATGGGTGCTGGCAGGAAACTTGTGCCTGGTGGATTTTCAGGCCTGTGCCCAGGTGGGCCTGGAGAAACCAGTGCTGAGGTCTTTCCATTTCCCCCAGGCTGACAGCAGTGTGCAGCTGTCCTCCATCCTCCTCTTCCGGGGGCTGATGACGATGGTAGAGAAAGAGGGAAAAAAGCCCCTGAAGCCACATGTCCGCCAGAGCCTGCTTCCACTCTTCTTCCACTGCCATGATGAGAACCAGAGAGTGGCAGAGGTGAGCACTTGTGGGCTCTGGTGTCCCCGCGGGAGGGGGCTGGGCTGCCTCCTGCCCTGGCACCTCACGGGCTGCA